TAGCGATGGCCTCCAACCTACTAGCGATGGCCTCCAACCTAGAAGCAATGGCCTTCATCCTAAGAGCAGCAAAGGCTTTCTTGATAAGCTTGAGTTTGCACACCGAGCCCATGGTGGTCAGGATGAGACAGGCCCAGTCCTCTCAAAGTCTGGCCTTTTGTTCGATGACCTCGTCAGCGATGAGGAGGAGCAAGCCTGGAGAAATAGAAGACAAGATAACATGGGCTCTTAACACAAGATTAAGTAGAAGACGGGGATGGCATGGAATCTAATCCTCGTTCTTTTGAAGGAATCCTTTCGCATCGTTGGCTCAGAAAGTGCTCAGTCCATCCGAGCGCCATTGGATTCGGTTGAAGGCACAGCGCATTGAGCATAGTAGCCGCAGTAGCCGTATGCAAGTCCTACCAGGTTTCTCAGGGGTAGCACCACCTGGAGTGGAACCTGCTGCCCTCCGGATGGCTCGAATAAATGAAGATATCGCAGAGCTTCAGGACATGCTGGAAATGACCATCCGGGACATGGATGCTCAACAAGCAGAAGCAGCTTTGGAACTGCAGCGCATGAGAGCCCGCTTGTTGGATGGGCTTTGTCCAAGCAAGTTACGCCGCAGCGAGCGGTTGAAAGGCTTGGCGAGGCGCTTGGCCATGCTGGAGCAGAATGTTGGCCGAGAACAGGCTGAGTGCGTCAAGGTCATGGAGGCTGTGCTGGCGACAGTTGAAAGGAACGGTGCAGTGGCAGAAGCTGTGTGCCAACACCTGAGTGGCATCGCCACCACCAGGGCCACTACGGCTGCTCAGATGCTGCCAGACCCGAACATTCACCAAGAACTCGCGGCAAAGGCCGCAGAAGTCTGTGGAACTGGTTGGTCACCTGTGGTTGCTCCACCGAGACCTTCCGAAATGTGCCCAAAGTCGGCTCCTGAGAAGTTCACAGCTCCAAACTCTGTGCCTGAGGGGGACATTGGCAGCCAGAAAGGCATTGTTGAAGAGGTTGGCGATGAGAATACAGGGTGCTTGGAATCTGAAGCGGCAAATCATTCGTTTGCAGCTTGTGGAGAGGAACAAATGGCACAATCCCAAGGTGACAAGGAAGTGTCTGTGCCAGATGGAGCCACAAGTCAACCGCTGATAGTGCAGGCGGCAGAAGAAGCTATGCTTCTAGCCACACTTCCCGATGTGGCGCTAGAACCCCGCTCTGAGCCCCTAAGAGGTGAAACTCAACGCTCAGAGGATTTGCAACCGGAAAGCATCTCCAGTGAGGACAGCTCCAGTGGAAGGCAGGGACAACATGTGGTGGTGACTCGCGTGTCCGTGTCCAGCAGTGATGGTGCAAGCAGCAGCAGCAGTAACAGTAGCAGCAGTGAAGTGATTGAGCATCGCTGAGTGCGAACTGCAAAAAGCAGGCAGAAGCTGCTTGTCCGTTGATCGTCCGGCTATTTTGGTGTAACTTGAGCATTCTTTGATCATTCCTTTTTTGTTTTTTTGGCTTGAGTGATTCGCTGCAGGAGCCAAGGCAGAAGGGCAAGTGGGACTTTGGGCGTCATGCAGAGGAGGGAGCTGCCAACTCGACCTTAGAGGCAAAGATCAGGCAAGAAGTGCGAGCTGAAAGTGCCGAGAGAGTGCTGCAGTCTTGCTGCAGACTTGCCTTACTCGACCAGATAGTCTTTTCATGTCTTTTCATTTCGCTTGAATCCTTTCTGCAAAAGCCTTGTGAATCGTTGTTCACAAATCTAGCTTTAATGTACAAATGCCTTCATGCCGGAGCTTTTTTAGCCAAGTGGCCCTAGGGAGAAACTCGAGGAATCGAGTGCAAAGGAAGAAAAGGGACAGGAGAAGGTCCATACCTGACAACGAGCAGTGTTGCTGTGCTCGGTTGTGCTGCTTGCTCATATTGTAGAACGTTTTCTCAATTTGTCCCGTATTTTTTGAGGGGAAGAAGAAAAGGAAGGGCAAGAAGGTTGGTGCCTCTGTGATGTCAACACTCGCAAGATTATGGCCTTTTTATGCAGCATGCAACTTCCCGTGTTTCTCTTTTTAGATCAGTTCTTGTACGTACTTTGCAACAAGACCTTGTGTGATTGCTAGGGTTGTTGCGGACTTTACTTACCATTCTCAGATGTGTCGGAAGTTCCGCACCAAGGTTGAGACAAAGTCCGAGGATCCTGTAGAATCGGAGCCAGATGCTGATTTGTCCCACTGGGATCGTTGCAGCTTTGGTTTAGGTGTTGGTAAGTAAGTTTACCAAAAAAGCTAGGAACCAAATCATTAGTGCGTGAGCGCTTGAGTAACTAGTAGCGAACTACTCCCTTAATTAAGCAGGCACCTACTTAATCAAGTAGGAGCGGGCTAAAACAAAAGAAACAGAAAAAGGCTCTGAGAAGTGACGAGGCCAACACAGTGTACTTCGAGGCCGACGGAGGAGGTCCAAGGCGTTGACATTCTTTCCACTCCTTTCCTGTCGTGCTTCTCTTGTCTTCTCTCATCATCCTTCCCCTACCGGCCGTACCGGCCCTTGTTTGCCGCCATGAGGCACTCCGAAGCATCTGCGAACCAACGTTCACTTTGCCGACCTGCGGCTCTCAAAGCCAGAGACTGAGATGTGAGATAGGTGTGCCCACTCTGAGCTGAGCTTCTGGGCTCAGCGAAATGGCCTCCAAACCTTTTTTGCATTGGCCTCCAAGCTGATAGAGATGGCCTCCAACCTAATAGCAATGGCCTCCAACCTAACAGCAATGGCCTCCTACCTAATAGCAATGGCCTCCAACCTAATAGCAATGGCCTCCAACCTGATCGAGAGGGCCTGAAACCCAATAGAGATGTCCTCCAACCTGATAGATATGGCCCGGCCTCCAACCTAATAGAGATGGCCTGCAACCTAATAGCAATGGCCTCCACCCTCATAGCAATGGCCTTCAACCTGACAGAGATGGCCTCCAACCTGATTGCAATGGCCTCCAACCTAATAGCAATGGCCTCCAACCTAATAGCAATGGCCTCCAACCTAATAGCAATGGCCTCCAACCTGATAGAGATGGCCTCCAACCTGATAGAGATGTCCTCCGACCTGATAGAGATGGCCTCCAACCTAATAGCAATGGCCTCCAACCTGATCGAGAGGGCCTGAAACCCCATAGAGATGTCCTCCAACCTGATAGATATGGCCCGGCCTCCAACCTAATAGAGATGGCCTGCAACCCAATAGCAATGGCCTCCAACCTGATAGAGATGGCCTCCAACCTCATAGCAATGTTCTCCAATCTGATAGAGATGGCCTCCAACCTGATAGCAATGGCCTCCAACCTGATAGAGATGGCCTCCGACCTGATAGAGATGGCTTCCAACCTGATAGCAATGGCCTCCAACCTGATAGAGATGGCCTCCAACCTGATCGAGATGGCCTCCAACCTGACAGAGATGTCCTCCAACCTAATAGCAATGGCCTCCAACCTGATAGAGATGGCTTCCAACCTGATAGCAATGGCCGCCAACCTGGTACAAACGGCCTCAGAGATGGCCTCCAACCTGATAGAGATGTCCTCCAGCCTGATAGAGATGGCCTCCAACCTAATAGCGATGGCCAATAATAATAGCAATGGCCTCCAACCTAATAGCAATGGCCTCCAACCTAATAGCGATGGCCTCGAACCTAGAAGCAATGGCCTCCAACCTAATAGGGATGGCCTCCAACCTAGAAGCAATGGCCTCCAACCTGATAGAGATGGCCTCATAGCAATGTTCTCCAACCTGACAGAGATGGCCTCCAACCTGATAGAGATGTCCTCCAACCTAACAGCTCCAACCTGATAGGGGTGGCCTCCAGCCTGATAGCAATGTTCTCCAACCTGATAGAGATGGCCTCCATTTGATAGGGATGGCCTCCAACCTCATAGCAATGGCCTTCAACCTGACAGAGATGGCCTCCAACCTAATAGCAATGGCCTCCAACCTGATAGAGATGGCCTTCAACCTCATAGCAATGTTCTCCAATGTGATAGAGATGGCCTCCAACCTGATTGCAAAGGCCTAACCTGATAGAGATGGCCTCCAACCTGATAGAGATGTCCTCCGACCTGATAGAGATGGCCTCCAACCTAATAGCAATGGCCTCCAACCTGATAGAGATGGCCTCCAACCTGACTGAGATGGCCTCCAACCTGATATAGATGTCCTCCAACCTGATAGAGATGTCCTCCGACCTGATCCAGATGGCCTCCAACCTGATAGAGATGGCCTCCAACCTAATAGCAATGGCCTCCAACCTGAT